TCTATCATTTTTCCTTTGTAAATAGTTAGCTTTCATACAAAAAGAATGAGTCTGTGGATTTCTTTTCGAGTAGACTTCGTCTCTGGTTTGGGTGCCTTCCTTGCTTTGTGAGCATGTGGTGTTTTTTGGCTGACGGTGCTTCACTCTGACCGACGCGTTTGCCCCCAAACGAGGACGCTGAGCACCATGGCGCGTCTCCTCTACGCGTCTCCTCTACACCATGTTACTGCGTAACGGGAGACTCTGTGAGGGGAATCTACAGTTCATGGGGGAAAGGATATTTTCCATTTTTTTTTTTAAAAGAGGAGCCGTGACAGGAAGCGGTGATGTAAAAACATTGATGTCGCTGCGTAAGCTTCACTAGCACTTATTAAATGGCACCAGATAAACCTCCTGCCAACCCCCCCCCCCCCCCCCCCAAAAGCCTTGTTCTTTATGCTAGCATCAGTAGTGATTTAAGACCTTTATAGAATTTCTAAAACACTACACACAACAATATTTACAATGATCATTTTTCTTGATATGCACTTATTTTATTTTTTTTTTTATTTAAATATTTTTTGCTTATAAAACAAACAACAAAAAACAACTTGAGTGAAAAAACATTGCAATAAATTAAGAAGCTTTAAGGCTGCCAGTCTTGTCAGATGCCTAAAGAATGGTGATCTTCATATAAACTGGTACAGAATGGATCAGAGCAGGTGTGTTATGGAAGCCTTTAGTGAGCAGCAGGCTTGGTCTGTATCTGGGACCATGTATGTTTTTATACATACATATATATCTATCTATATATATATATATATATATATATAGATATATATATATATATGTGTCTTAACATACATGGTCCCAGACCAAGATGGACTCGACCAGCTAGAATGCTCTTATCACGAACTGAAAACAAATCATTTCCTGTTTTAAATGAAGAAGCAGGAGAGCACTGACATGTGACCTGCGTGTGAGTCAGAGCTGTCTGCTGGTCAGTAACTCCGCCTGCTTGCGGTACGATCGGCTTGTGAAACTGTTCGTTCTACGGAGTGTTGAGCTTAATACTGACTCTGAGGATAGAGGATTCTTCACCTCGAAGAAAAAAAACTATTTGCTATATGTCCATCTAGCTTTTAATTTAAAGCAATGATGTAAAACAAATAATAAAATAAAAGAGAACATGTGAGTGTCAAAAGAACCTGCGAGTTGTTCACAACCGGATTACTTTGAATCATTTTCACATCAGTGCTGGGAGACAAAATGAAAAAAAAACAAAATGAAAAGAAACACACACCTCAAAATCTAGATGGAGGAGCTTTTTGTTTTTTAAAAAGCCATTTCACTCAAACACACGAGGGAAAAGAAAACTCAACACAAATGCTGCTACCGGTCGTGGCTTCCACTGGCCCCCCCCCCCCCCCTCCCCCCTCTGACTGAGGAGCCCAGTGGAACACCGCAACCGGTAGCATTTCTCTGATTCTGTCTCGCTCTTCCTGTGGTCGTCACTCAAAATGGCCTCCTCCAACGCTGTCTTGTTTCAGCAGATTCACTCACACACACACACACACACACACACACACACACACACACACACACACACACACACACACA